GCAGGAAAAAGGGGGTGCAGACGTTATGAATATAAAATGGGAAAACTATGGAGACAGTGAAGAGAAATGCCACCTTGGAATAAAAAAAATATTATTTTTATCTAAATAGCTATATACATATGTAGTCACTATAGCTATGTATATTTTGCATCAAATTAACTTTTACTGAAGGACAAACTTTAGCAAAGCTCCAGTTACAGATTGAGGCCTAAATTGGCACATACGGTCACATGCATGCATTTGACTTCATGCACTAAGATAAATCCTCTTGGTTTCAGATTAAGCATGTTCACGTGTCTTTACATCTCCAGGTTCTCATCCTGTAATGGCGGGCCCCTTCCACCACAGGTTGTATCCAAGTACAGATATTTATTAAGCAGCCATTCAAGGAAGATGTCAGCTATAACCATTCGCATACCTTCAGTGACTTTTAAAAATGAGAACTGAATTAGAAAAAAATACAGTACTGCCTAGTCTTTCACTGTAAAGTATGACATTGTAAAGTATGTTATTAGGGTAACAAACTAAGAAGAACATGCCCCAGTCACTGTGCAGTGGCATAACTGCAATGACAAAACATCAAAGCACTAACTCGATCCTAGCATTAGTGAATTTTTAATTCTCTCCTGCTTAGGATTGCCAAATGTCCTGGACCAGTTGCCACTGCCACAAATGCATCTGGTTCATCCAGTCAGGAAAGCTGGAATCCCTACAGTCCTGCTGCTCACTATCAGTTGTTCTGTAGCCTCAGTTACCAGCAAGTATGCTAGCTCACATTGTCGATAGCCTTGAGTACCTGCAGAAGCACTGCCCTGACTGTGGATTTCCCCAAGCCAAACTGGTTTCTGACGGAGATGGCAATGCGCTTCTGCAGGGGGATGGCGGGTCGCAGTTGGGTGTCCTGTTGCCTGAGGATAGGGGCAAGCCATTCAGCATGCGGAAGTTCTGCAGCCACTTCTGGTCATCCTATCGCTGCAGGATGATGCAGTCCCACTAGTCCAAACTGGTCTCCCTCTGCTAGAAGCAGCATTTGATGGTGTCCAGGGGGCAAAGGAGCCTTTGCAGCAGCAGGAGTGCCAGGACCTGGGTTAAGGTGTCCTCTGGTTCAGGCTGGAGCAGTATGTGGGCAGACTGAATGAACTGCACCATGAAGCGTAGCACGAGGCCCATGAGCTTGGCACAGCTTTGCAGCAGCTCTGGCTCCATGATGTCAGTGTTGTGCCATCTGCAAGGGCAACCAGAGCACACAGTGTCCATTTGGTGTCCCACAAGGGGGTTGGCAGTGTAGGAGTAATGTGTGAAATGTGGCTGTAGAAAGGAGCCCCTTTAAGCATGTGTCTCACCTTGACTGACCAAGAAGCCACAGGAAGTGTCTGTCCTCCTGGTGCCCTCCCCAACGTGCTTCCAAGGTCTGTTAAATCTGAGGCAGGCTCCAAACGGTGAGGACATGCTATTTCAAAATCATTCTGAGCTATTTCAACGCTCCCTCATAGTGTGGATGTGCTATTTTGATTTTGTTATTTTGGGCATTATTGTTTCAGTTTTACTTATTTCAAAATTATTCCCGAGTGTAGAAACGCCCTCAGAGTTTTCCCATTAACCTCAATCAAGACAGGATTTTATCTACTTGGCCTGTAGAAGTTGGCCTCTAAGCCTTGGTTGTTAGATTCAAGTTTGTGGGGTTTGCACTTTCACTCTAAAAACAGCAGTGGTGTTGAAGCCCAACCCGCTCTCTAGGCTTCAGAGCCCAAGCCACAATGTCAAAGCACTGTCTACAATGCTATTTTTAGTGAGCACCAGGAGTCCCGCTCTGTAGACCCTACTGGGACATGCCTCCTGCAGGATGTATGAGGCACTCATGGAATCCCAACTCGCAGGATGATAAGTGGTGTTCCCTGTAAGCTGTTTGCTTGTGCAGACACTCAGGAGAAATTCAAATGCCACCCAGCTGATCAGGAGAGCACCCACAGATAGGTTTTTTTGTTTTGATTGGCTGTGCACATTCATACATGTAATGGTGCACATACAAATAATCCAGTCTTATTCACATTGGATAGGTCCAGAGTGAGTATGAATGAATCAATCTGGCCCTATGTGTTGGAAGGTGAATTTTAGGATTGCATTGGGGTAATTCCTTTGGTGCTGAAACTATAAGAAGTATTATGACACTTTTGAATTAGCCATCAGTTTTGTTTATCACCCTCAAGGCGGGACCAAGCTCCGTCTGCGCCATCCCTGACAGATGTCTATCTAACCTGTTCTTAAATATCTCCAGAGAGGGAGATTCCACCACCTCCCTTGGCAATTTATTCCAATATTTGACCACCCTGACAGTTAGGAATTTTTTCCTAATGTCCAATCTAAACCTCCCCTGCTGCACTTTAAGCCCATTACTCCTTGTCCTGTCCTCAGAAACCAAGAGGAACACATTTTCTCCTTCCTCCTTGTGACACCCTAGCGCTATAGTGTAGACGTACATTTCCTTTAGCTTCATAGTTAGAGAGTTAAGTAAAACTGAAAATAGGTCAATATGTGTAACTACGATAGGGACTACTTTAAATCACAAGGACAGTTTTAAATGCATTAAAATTAAAGTCTGTTGTCTAAAAGCTTAACAGATCAACTCAACATAGCAGGAAAAAGGGGGTGCAGACGTTATGAATACAAAATGGGAAAACTATGGAGACAGTGAAGAGAAATGCCACCTTGGAATAAAAAAATATTATTTTTATCTAAATAGCTATATACATATGTAGTCACTATAGCTATGTATATTTTGCATCAAATTAACTTTTACTGAAGGACAAACTTTAGCAAAGCTCCAGTTACAGATTGAGGCCTAAATTGGCACATACGGTCACATGCATGCATTTGACTTTATGCACTAAGATAAGTCCTCTTGGTTTCAGATTAAGCATGTTCACGTGTCTTTACATCTCCAGGTTCTCATCCTGTAATGGCGGGCCCCTTCCACCACAGGTTGTATCCAAGTACAGATATTTATTAAGCAGCCATTCAAGGAAGATGTCAGCTATAACCATTCGCATACCTTCAGTGACTTTTAAAAATGAGAACTGAATTAGAAAAAAATACAGTACTGCCTAGTCTTTCACTGTAAAGTATGACATTGTAAAGTATGTTATTAGGGTAACAAACTAAGAAGAACATGCCCCAGTCACTGTGCAGTGGCATAACTGCAATGACAAAACATCAAAGCACTAACTCAATCCTAGCATTAGTGAATTTTTAATTCTCTCCTGCTTAGGATTGCCAAATGTCCTGGACCAGTTGCCACTGCCACAAATGCATCTGGTTCATCCAGTCAGGAAAGCTGGAATCCCTACAGTCCTGCTGCTCACTATCAGTTGTTCTGTAGCCTCAGTTACCAGCAAGTATG